TTTTTACTGTGTTTTTACTATTCTTTTACTTCTGCATTATTTACTTAAAAAACTTGCAAAGCCCCTATGGTAGAGAATAGTGGGACATCGGTTAAAAGATACATCGCGGCAGGCCACTGACCAAACAATTTGCATGTTCACATAAACTTTAAACTCATAATCGCTGCGATATGATACGGAGCAAGCTTCTGAGCAAGGATGCAAGTGAACTGACACATGAATTTGGTGAACGACAAAGGACTTCCACCAACGAATCAAGACCCAACATGAAACAAGATCTACTTCAACTAAACTTAGTTTAAAATAACATAACTCATAGGATTCCAAGATAGTTCGTCTAGCACGACGTAAATCCTCGCACTATCTTTAGGCTTCTGCACCACTATGTTGTGCAGCATAAGTCCTAACTTTTTTTAGGCTCTGAGATTATCGTTCGGTACGATATAAATCCTCCTATCTTTGTAGTCTCATTGCATGATTTGAGTATCATGCAAGTATAAGCTGTAAATAATAAAATTGACAGGAATGAAATATCAAATAATATTATTTTCAAAGATTTAAAGCGAAACAGTAGAATAGTTTGAGAATTCACCGAGGTTCTCATCAAGATATGTGACATCTCATACTTCTCGCTCCTTTGGACTCCAAAATAATTGTTCCTATTTGGTCATTTCCTACATAATTTTTAATGTTCAGCCTTGAAAACATAAACATTGAATTTTTTACGATAAAGACCTTTGAACATCATCGAGAGTTTTCTTAAGTGACTTTGGTCATTTAGAATGTAATTAACAAGAGGTTTGCCCTTATAGAGAACTTGAAACCCGGTAATATATCGGTCACACAAAAAAAAGTTTCGCAGACCAATCGGATGTCATAAACTATTTAGTTTAAATGGTTGAGACTACTAATAAGCAATATATTTATCCCTCGGAATAGTGTATTATTTATGGTATCATGCTCAACCATCTAAACTACTACATGTATCCATTTAAGTCACATTTTTCAATATTACAATACTATTTTTTTTTAATAAAAAAAATTACATATATATTAAATTGAATATATTGTCAAAGCAACCGACCAAATTCTAACCGACAAATCCATAGGGAGAAGCTTAAATGTTTTAGTTAGAGACTTAGAGCTAAATGTATTACATGTAAAACTTATAATTTAATATATTCTTTTATCAAAATAATTAATTAATTTAACAGAAATGATTCCCATATGGATTAATCAACTTAATTTGTACTTTGTTTACATCTCAAACTTACCATATACACCTAGGTATAGGTGACATTAAAAATAGATACTAAAAAGCTCACAAATTTAGTTTGGATTTAATTATTTATATATATTAATTAAAATCATTAATAAATAAATAAATGTTAAAAAACCATTATATAAATCCACACCAACAATTCATGACACAAGCCGAATAATTTTTGTTGAAATTCTGTCACTCCAATCATAGCAATGAACTTTAGACACTAGAATCAAAGCTTTATACCATTGGATCTATTTCTCTATGGCAATCATGTTGCAGTTTGTTTACTTTTCTCTGTTTTTCTCTTTTAATTTATTCCTATTTTATAATGTCTCTCGGAGATGTGTGTTACACACACGCACATCCCCTCTTGTACAAAGTAAGTAATAAGAATTTTGAGAATTTTGGAATGGATAAAGCATGCATCCCTTAGCATCTATTAGATCATGGAGCTAGAAGCAACCATGGTTTCGAGACTATTGAGCAACTATGTGAGAAAAACACAACCAAGACCCTATCAATTGGTGTACTCAATGATGTTTGTTTGTTTAAGAGGTGGATATTTTATATAATCAAGTTTCTAGTGAGATCCAACACAAAAATGAATGGTTTGCGACCACAAGAAATAGTCGATACTTCAAGTATGATAGTTATGTCAAAAGTGTATGACGTTTTGTCTCTAAAAGAATTATATAGAGAGTTATTAAAGAAAAAGGAAAAGAATAGTGCAAGAAGTATCAAATTAAAGATAGATCAAGACAATGTAATGGGTGAGCAAAGATGGGCTACAAAAAGCAGATGTAGGTGCATAGATGAAATTGGCGAGTCAACTCGCGAGCACAGGAGCATGGCTATATGAACAAGTGCTGGAATAAGCACAATAAGTGCACAACTGAGAGCAACAAGCATGAGGACGGACAATGCAAACAAAAGCGGAAGACAATGGGCTAGTGCATGAGCAAGCAAACAAGCATGCAAGAAAGAGTGAGCGAGCAAGCAATCAGAAGCAACCTTTATAGCAGCTACAAGAAAGACTGTAAGTGAACGCTACAATTGCGGGTTGTAAGATCAACAATGGATGAAGAAAGAAGAGGGATAAAGAGGTAGATAAGGCAAGAGCTGATGCAGCTCTGTCACCATGTTAGAGTGAAAATCCCTTTGTAAAATCTAACATATTGAATAGCGTTGACTATATATAGCTAAATGAGAAAAAAATATAATAAGGGGGAGGGAAAATATCATTAATTATGAGGATAAATTATAGCAATAAACAAACCTCCCGATATTGCAACTTTCAAACCATAATAATTTCCATGCTTATGGGAGTCACACCTACTGTAAATTCAATCAAACAAAATTGAATAAGTTGCACGTTTAGCAAAGAAAACAAAAAGGTAGCCGAAATAGGGATAAAATAAAAAGGTAGGACAAAGATCAAATAACTAGAATTTGTGCAAAAATGTTTATAAACTAAAAAATTATCATACATGAGACTTTCAACATGAATCGATAAAAAAGGAAAACTTGACCCATAAGTTGGGAGATAGCTAATAATGATGATGTTTCGTAATAAACAACTTGCATTTGAATTCTTCTCTTTAAAGCTCAGTCATCCACCATTGCAAATAATTATTACGACTCAAGTATAACCATGGAAGTCACATGTGCTTCTTGCTTGACCTTGTGTTGGATGATTAAGATATGGTTATACTTTTAGGTAGCATCTTCTAAAGAGCGAACCAAGAGAAGAGATTGGATTGCCTCTGGTACATTCTAAAATTCTTATGGAGTGTTTGGTACGAAAAATTTTAAAAGGATTTAAGATAGCTTTAACGTAAATCCAGCCAAATACAATAAATAGGTTAGATAAATCCACCCTTAAAGTTAAATCTAATTTTTGTTTGTTTTGTTTAGTAAATTTGGATTTACTAAATCCGATTATTAGTTGAATTTAATGAATTTAGCGTAGGAAAAAGATATTTCAAATAGATTTATGTCAAACACATCAAATGGATTTAAAATTTAACCTTAATTGAAAACATTTCGAATTTAATAATATTTAGATTTAATAAATCCAAATTTACTGAATTTTGTAAATCTTATTTAACTTAAATCCTACTTGCAGCTAAACACCCCCTTAGGTTCGAATAATCTCACTGTAAATGTAAAAGAAAATTATGAATAACAAATCTCCTCAAAAACTTCATTAACAAGTGGAGCATTAAGTATGCTCTTTTAGCACATTTTAGAACCAAAAATTTGCTAATACTAATAATTATTGGGATTATATATGTGTCTATCATATAAAAGATGGTTATTAATATAGGATTTGTATATAAAGATACCAACAAATGATGAGAGATAGGAATATAGGCCAGTATTAAGTTAAATGGTATGTTCTCAAAGGAATTTTCCCAAACCCATGTACTTTATCCATAAAATCATTCACACATTTCTCCGGAAAAAGGAACCAATATTCAAAATCAATTCAAGAGCAAATTAATGATGAAAGAAAAGTCCTACAAGGTAGCTAAGCCATTAGATTGGAGAGTAGCTAAGGAAAATGTGCCTCCAAACAGAATATGGAAGTGTAAGGCTTGAAAGAAGTAACATTGGGATCCATAGACAACAAGAAATTGATTCTATAATAGTTTTCCTTCATTCAATCCTTACTTCAAAACATATCAAGCAAGATGATATGAAATGTAAGAAAAAAGCTTTAGTTTACCTTCAACATAATCTAACTAGCATGTGTGAGGAAAGTTGCTAATAGCTTCTTAGCGCTTCTCTATTGTGTATAAGCTTCAACATGTTCTAAACATAAAGTAATATTTCTCTCGAGGTTTATTTCATTATCACGCATGTACTTTTGTTTTCATTATTATGTGGACCATCATCATCATATCATCATGGGTAGGGCTCTCATTCATAAAAGTGAACCATGGAAATGTCGGCCTCTCACCCAACACAAGCACACTCCAACTTCAAGCTAGCCTAGTCCCAGCTCAAAAGTAGCTCAAAACAGTATAAGCTAGTTCAAAATTAGCTAATAGATTAAATTGGTTCAATTTTGAGCTAGATCAACTCAAATTAGCCTGATTTTAACTCGACTTGAAATCATTTATTTTTCCATATTAATTTTTTTCAAAAAAAAGACTTATATATGCACATATGTATAAATTAAATTAAAATATGTAATTATTTATATTGAGTTTATCTCAAGCTGGCTCAATCCAATCCAAACGCAACTCAAAATTGACCTGAATATCAAACTAAGCAAATATTTTGGCTTGTTGCTTGCTTGTTTGGCTTGATTCACAGTTGTTTAAAGCCAAAAATTTATTCAAGTCTCCAGCAAAAATCGCAGCCCTACTCGTCTTTATAATTTGGAGCGTATTTGCACCGTAGAAAATAGCAATTCTTTTACGGACTATAGTAATTGTAGCCATGCTGCTTAACTTTTCAAGTGTTTTGACCAATACAAATTTCATGTCTCCATATTGATTGTCGCCTAGTATACAATTTTAATTTTCATGAGAAAAGCTAAGTCAATAAATATAAAAACTACTATTTGAAGAGAAAACAATCATACCATTTGGACTATTAGCAAAAGGGAATGAAATATTCATGATTTGCAATCCTAAGGAGAAACTAAAACAATAGGCACTATTTCGGGTAAGGATCAAAATACAGTACATCGAGAGCCAAATAGTTGAAAATCAGAACAAATTACCTCAATAAAAGTGAAATTGTGATGCACCAAAAGGGCCAAAGCTAAACATGGCAGAACAAGAAAATAATGCCTGAAGCTGTCCTCATCCTTATTATATGTCTGCCTGACCACCTTGTGCAATCTCATATACCAAACAATGCACATCGAAGTTCCAAGAAAAACTATCTTCATCAACGAGTTGTACATAGAATAGTAAGTCCTAAATAGATCAATATAACGGCTCACGAACACGATAACATAGAGCTCCTGCGTCTTCAGTGATATTCCTGCTCACCAAAATTGAAACAATTACATAACATGAATAATCAAAACAGAATAAAGACAGACAAAAATGACTTTTTTCAAACTAGCAATTTTTCTATTAATAAAGGCTTAAGCATTAAAATTGGCATCAGACGTGAACAACAAAACCCTAAGAGTCCAAATATGATGCGTAAGATTATAAATATGTTTTATTAAAATTAAACATAAAAAATGCCATCATTAAGAAAGAAAAAACATGTGTCTCAAGCATCAATCAATAATACGGTAGCAAACCAATTTTTCGTGAACTAAAACTAAAAAAAAATCATAGAAAAGTTGAAACCCTAGAATGTGAAGGATCGATGAACCTGCGCATGATTTCGTGGTGTGGATCTTGTGCAACAGAAGTAGGATGCTTAGTAGATGGGTCATATCGCCTGCTAACCTGAAGATATTCATCCCTCACTCGCTCTCAGCTCCCCTCTCTCTCTCTCTCTCTCTCTCTCTCTCTCTCTCTCCAATGTGCCTCCCCAAGATTTTCATATTACAGAAAAATATTATTATTTTAATTTTTTTAAATTTAATTTAGAATGCAGAAAAATGAGTCAGTATGAAATTCCACTTAATAATGCTAATAAATGTTATCTATGAATAATGCGGGGGACAATAAATATCATTTATGAGATAATGATTTGATAATGATAGTCAATAAATGATAATCAAATGATTAATACTGGATGATAATGAATAGACTATAATGAGTGAATAATATTAATTAGATGATGACTAGTTGACAACGATAGAGCAAATGTCTTGACTTAAGGTGATCATTGATATCAAATATCAAGTAGATAATTAATTTTTTTTAAATTTTCAAACTCTTTTTAAACTAAGCTCTTGGTTTTTTCCATCTATAGAATGAGCATTTCTTTTTTGAATATTGAAGTGATGCATTTTAATAATTCAAACTGAAATCTCAAAACACTTCATCTGATAGCTCAATTGATTATTTTGAAAACAAAAATTTTATAACCTTTAAATGCATTAAAAATCTTAAAGTTGAATGATTTTATTTTATTTGGCTCTATCGGTGATTGATGATTAATTAGTGTAAAAAGAAGTCAAATAAATATGAATTGTACTAATTAAGATCGATTACATTCAATTATAAAGTTCCCAATCTAAAAACTATATCAAGATTGATGATTAATTAGTGTACAATATATCATTTAAAAAAAGAATGAACTATACTAATTGCATTGCATGTCTCGCCATTATAACTCGTATTTTAATTATTACTATTAGTTCATCTGTTCACATCATTATCAATCTTTATGTTATAAATTGATTACCACCTTTAAATTTAAAATTCTATTTTGGTAATTTTTATTAGTCATTGTAATAGAGATTGAATGTAACCACATCATTAAATTTTGTAACCCCCACTCTCCAATATTTATGGCTCATCAACATTCATTCAAATATAAATATATTTTTATAGTTTAGCTAAAAACTCACTTATCTTAATTATGCCTTGGTTTTTTCCCTTTTATTCTCTAAAAAGAACTAAAATAATGTATTGTGTTGGTGGATTGCTTTCCCCTTATATGCTCTATGCATATCTAGCTATAGTATCGCATAGCTTTTTAAACAAAGTTTAGAGTGCATGCGAAGTCCAGACCTTTCTCTTACTTGCTGAAAATGAGTTTCACTCATCCTCCTTCTCATCACATCTGTCTTCTCCACTTCCTCGTCTCCAACAGAATCTCTTTTCATGTAATTGTCGGATCTTTATAAATAATTTTGTAAATATAGTTAGGTCCAGATAACACCTTTATTATTGGCTTTTGTATTGTCAACCCTAAGTATCAATGTTCAATAAAGTATACACTACTAGCAGTTCAATGAAAGGATCATTCACAAACTCCTCAGATGACTGATCTATTGAATCGACATAATAGAGGAACGGGGACAAAAATAGGTATTAAGGAGCTGGGATAGACCAATCCTATGTCCAAACTAAACGTGTTTCTAGTAAATCCTTAAGTTCAATTAAGAACTAAGAGGTAGAGGACATGGTTGATCCTTTTATATCCATAGAATAAGGATTCGCCTCCCTCTCTCCACACAATCCTAATCAAATCAAAACACTCACAAACCTAAATATTAACACACAAATACCAACAATCTACACCACAACAAACAAAAAACACAACATAATAAAAACAAATACAAACTTGGGTTACCTCCCAATAAGCATTTGATTTAACGTCATCAGCCCGATGAATCCATATATCTACTCAAGTTGTCCCAACGTTAAGACCTCAATTATCAATTTTCTCTGTCCTCCTACATATGATTTAAGTCTCTATCCATTCACGTTAAATACCCTACCATTCCTCGGATCTTTAATATTAATTGCACTAAATGGATAAACTTTAACTACAATAAATGACCCCGACCACCTAGACTTAACTTTTTTAGAAAATAAATTCAATCGTGTATTATATAGTAAAACCTTCTGTTTCATACTCAAAATTTTTCCTAAGAATTTTTCGATCATGCCACTTTTCACCTAGACTTAACTTTTTTAGAAAATAATTTCAATCATATATTATATAGTAAAACCTCCTGTTCAAACTCAAAATCTTTCCTAAGAATTTTTCGATCATGCCACTTTTTTATTTTCTATTTATAAATCTTAGCATTTTCATAAGATTCTTGTCTATCTTACTTGAGTTCATTTAACTCTCATAATCTTTTCTCACCGACTTCTTTCATATTACAATCGAATTTCTTAACAACACTATAAGTTTTATGTCCTTACTCCACTAATAAATAACAAGTTTTGTCAATATATGAGCTTATATGGAGACATTCTTATATGTGTTTTACAAGCAGTCTTATAAGCTCATAATGCATTATCTACGCTCAAAGACCAATATTTCTTAAAATGATTGGTATTTTTTTTTCTGAAATCCTTTTGATTTTTTTATTAGATACTTCTGAAAAACAACTCATTTGCGGCTGATATGATGTGGCAATCTTATGTTTAATTTCATACTTAGAAACTAATGTCTCAATTCCTAAAGTGACTTCTCCAATCACTAATGTTCACTCTATACATACTAAATCTACTAAAGATATTCTTCTTTAAGAATTTAGTTAAACTTTGAGTATTACAATTTGCAAGATCCGCTGCATCAATCCATTTTAAAACATAGTCCACAGCTATCAGAATATATAAATTTCCTAACAATGGTACAAAGAGACCCATAAAGTCTAAACCCCAAACATAAAAAATCTCAATACCCAACGTAAAATTTAGGGGCATTTCATTACGCTTAGAAATATTGTCTACCCTCTGACATCTATCACAAATTTTTATAGATAAATTTACTTATCTAAATAGAGTTGACCGATAAAATCTAGATTGAAAAATCTTAAAAGTAATTTTATCAACTCCAAAATGTCCCTTAAATTCAGAATCATGACATTGCTTAATAATTCAAGGGTTTCTTATATAAATACACATCTTCTTATCACTTGATCCTTATATTTTCTATAATGATATGGGTCATCCTATTTATAATATATGACGTCATGAATAAATTTATTCCATTGATGGTATGTCATGTCATATGGCATAATATCATTAATTATAAAATTTATCAGACCACGAAATATGTCACTCAGTAATAATAAATAGTTGCACATTCAGAATTTTTTTTTTATTAATTTCATCTTCAAAAATATACGAATCTCCCTGATCTAGTGACAAATTGATAGCTATTTGATTATTAAAACCCTTCATATTCACTACTTTGATATTAAATTCTTTCATCAAAAGGACTCATCTAATCAATCTCGTTATGACATTCTTTTTTAACATCAAATATCTAATAACATAATGGTCTGTGTGAACGTACATTTTGTTTTAATCAAATAGGATCTAAATTTTTTAAAACCATATACTATAGTCAATAACTCATTCTCAGTAGTTGTGTAATTTACTTGAGAGTCATTAAGAGTTTTATTTGTATAATATATAGCACTAAACATTTAATCATGCCTTTGTCCTAAAATTGTCTCAATAGCATAGCCACTCGCTTCACACATTAGCTCAAATGGTTTCTCCCAATCAGGTGAAACAATAATAAGAACAGTTCATAATTATTCTTTCAGAATATTGAAGGCATTTAGGCATTCGTGGTCAAAATTAAATAGGACATTCTTTTATTGAGGTTTGGTAATTTTGGAAAAATATTTTATATATCACCTATAAAATCCAACATGTCCTAAAAAACTTTCAACTCCCCACATAGTAGTAGGTGGAGATAGTTTTTCAATAACTTGCACTTTTGTTGTGTCTACTTCCATGACTTTTTCAAATATTTTTTGTACTAACATAATACCTCCCGAAATCATAAATTGACAATTCTCCTAATTGAGAAAAAAATTGGTTTCATTCTTAGTGTTTCAATACATTTGTTAAATGATATAAACAAGAATCAAATGAAAGGTCAAACACTGAAAAGTCATCCATAAACACTTCAATTATTTTCTCAATCATGTCATAGAAAATAGACATCATACACCGCTGAAATATAGCGAGTGTGTTACATAACCCAAAAGACCTTCTTTGAAAAGCAAAAATCCCATAAATACTTGTGATTGTTGTCTTATATTGATCCTCATGAGCTATAAATATCTAATGATACCTTGAATATCCATCTGAGAAACAAAAATATGGATGACCATTTAGCCTATCCAACATCTGATCCAGAAAGGGTAAAGGGAAATGATATTTCCTCGTGGCATAATTTAATTTTTTATAATCTATATACATGACCCAATGACACGTCTAGTTGGAATTAATTCATTCTGTTCATTAAAAGTCATCGTAAATCCCCATTTCTTAGGAACACAGTGAATAGGGCTATCTGATATAGGATAGATAATACTTGCATCTAACCATTTCAATATTTATTTTTTCAACTATTTCTTTCATAATTGGATTTAATATCATTTAAGGATCTGTAATTAAATTCAGAAAACTCTAATAAATTTCAAAAAATCATTTTTCTATCTAGAAAAATAAAAAAAATAAACCAAGATACCTTTGAAGTTAGGGGACAGAGGAGAAATAAAGAAAAATAAAATCAATAATAATTAAATACTCAAGAGAGTATTTTGATTATTAAAAATTAAATATAAAACCAAAAATTATGAAATTACGGGGTTTTTTCCCTTCACTCTTGGAAATATTCTCTGAATTTTTCAAGGTTAGGGAATATCCCAAAAATAAAAATGATCAATTTTCTATTAACTTTATAATTATTTTGGAAAATAATTATAAAAATTTAGAAAATTGGAATTAAAAATGGGAATTGGCTAAAAAATTTAAGGTAATTAATATAATACCTAAAAAAAAAATTCCAATCTCTAAAAGTCTAAAATGACAATTTAGACATTTAGAGAAAAATATGTAAATTTAAAATTTACACCTTAGCACAATATCTATT